CCTCCCAGATGACCCAGCCCCGTGTCCCCATCAAGCCGAGCCACCCCTGATGTCCCCACTGCCACCAGCCACCCCTGATGTCCCCACTGCCACCCCCGTGTCCCCACCCGATGTCCCCAGCACCACCAAGCCCAGCCCCAGTGTCCCCAACACTGACCCAAGGTCCCCACCTGATGTCACCATCTAATGTCACCACCTGATGTCCCCAGCAAGACCAAGCCACCTCCAGTGTCCCCACCAGAACCAATCCAACCCCGGTGTCCCCAACACTGACCCAATGTCCCCACCCAATGTCCCCACTGAGACCACGGCAAGTGTCCCTACCTGATGTCCCCACCACCACCAAGCCACCCCTGGTGTCCCCACCAACACAACGCCAACCCCAGTGTCACCACCAACACTGACCCAGCTCAATGTCCCCACCTGATGTCACCAGCTAATGTCCCCACCTGATGTCCCCACCATCACCAAGACCAACCCACCCCTGATGTCTCCCCGATGTCCCCACCAAGACCGTCCCACCTCCAATGTCCCCTCCTGATGTCACCACCTGCTGTCCTCCCTGATGTCCCCACCGAGACCACCCCAGCCCCTCCGATGTCCCCACCTGATGTCCCCATCACCACCAAGCCACCCCTGATGTCCCCACCAACACCGACCCAGCTCAATGTCCCCACCCGATGTCCCCATTGTCCCCACCTGACATCCCACTGAGACCAAGCCACCTCCAATGTCCCCACCAAAACCAATCCAACCCTGGTGTCCCCACCACAATGTCCCCACCTGATGTCCCCACTGAGAACCCAACCTCCAACCAATGTCCCCATCACCGCCAAGGCCATCCCACCTCCAGTGTCCCCTCCTGATGTCCCCTCCTGATGTCCTCACTGACACCACCCCAGCCCCACCTGATGTCCCCACCATCACCAAGACCAACCCACCCCTGATGTCCCCACCCCTCCTGATGTCCCCACTGAGACCACCCCGGCCCCAGTGCTGTGTCCCCCTGATGTCCCTGTCACCACCAGGACCATCTCGCCTCCGATGTCCCCATCACCAGCAACCCACCTCTGATGTCCCCACCAACACAACGCCAACCTCAATGTCACCACCAACACTGACCAATTGTCCCCACCTGACGTCCCCACCGAGACCATCCCAACTCCAATGTCCCCCCACCCCTGATGTCCCCACCTGATGTCCCCATCACCACCAGGACCATCCCACCTCCAGTGTCCCCACTGCCACCAACCCACCCCTGATGTCCCCACCCAGTGTCCCCACTGAGACCATCTCACCTCCAATGTCCCCATCACCACCAACCCACCCCTGATGTCCCCACCAAGACCATCCCAGCCCCAGTGTCCTCACCTGATGTCCCCACCTGCTGTCCCCACGATGTCCCCACAATGTCCCCACCTGCTGTCCCTGTCACCACCAAGACCATCCCACCTCCAGTGTCCCCATCACCCTCAAGCCACCCCTGATGTCCCCCCTGATGTCCCCACCTGATGTCCCCATCATCACCAAGACCATCCTACCTCCAATGTCCCCACTGCCACCAACCCACCCCTGATGTCCCCCACTGATGTCCACCCCTGATGTCCCCACCCAGTGTCCCCACTGAGACCATCTCACCTCCAATGTCCCCATCACCATCAAGCCAACCCCGGTGTCCCCACCAACACTGACCCAATGTCCCCACCTGATGTCCCCACCATAACCAAGACCAATGGACCCTTGATGTCCCCACAATGTCCCCACCTGCTGTCCCCATCACCACCAGGACCATCTCACCTCCAATGTCCCCACCACCACCAACCCACCCCAGATGTCCCCTGCAATGTCCCCACCCCCGCTGTCCCCACAATGTCCCCATCTGATGTCCCCATCACCACCAACCCACCCCTGATGTCCCCAATGACACGATGCCAACCAAAGTGTCACCACCAACACTGACCAATTGTCCCCACCTGACGTCCCCACCGAGACCATCCCACCTCCAATGTCCCCACCTGATGTCCCCACCTGCTGTCCCCATCATCACCAAGACCATCTCACCTCCAATGTCCCCATCACCACCAACCCACCCCTGATGTCCCCATCAAGACCATCCCAGCCCCAGTGTCCTCACCTGACGTCCCCACCTGCTGTCCCC